CTGCTTCATAATACTGGCACTTATAAACAAATAACTGAAAATAATAATGCACCCAGTAGGGACTAGCATGTTTGCAAAGTTTTGTTTCATTTTTTTAAAAAACATTCAGAATGGGAAGGTGGCATGCTACAAGTTTAAGCGATAGGTTCCAGCATCTTGTTTAGATTCTGGACACCAAAGCTTTTGAAGAAAATAAAAACAATGGATGGCTTTGCTAGGAATTATGCATCAAGAAAGAAAAACTAGTCAAAGGTAATACAAAATGTCCTTTAAGAGTAAATATTTGAGGGACATTACAGTTACGTTGATAAAGAGCTCTTTTTAATTAGCAATGGCCTCATGATGTGCAGTGTTTTCAAACTAGGCAAACTTGAGATGTGTGTCTTCAATTCTCAGAATTTCCCAGCCAACCTGAGGCTGTGGAATGTTGGGACTTAAACTCTACACATCTTAAAGTTGCCAAGTTTGAAAATTACTGATGGTGAGTCCTGTTTATTCATGAGCAAAACTAGCACCACTTTGGAGGAACACTTTACATTATATTCTTAAAATTCTCAGTTGTGTCAACCAACTCAAAAACTTAAAAGAGATCCTTCTGGAAAGGGGAAGGAACACTTTATAGATGGAAATCTACAATCTTTGGTAACCTCACACAAGAAAAACCTCTTCCTGAATGTTTCCCAATATTGGCCAATAAATCAATAAATTAGTTTGACTGGGCCAGTACTACTTCTGAATTCAAGTATGATGACATGATTGAATATTCCACCAAATATTCTGTAAACAAAAAACAAACAAATTCAGAAGCTTATCTCTGACATGTTCATTTTGTTTGAATAATTTTGTTTTGACATAGGCCTATTACCTATGAAAACAAAATCTATTACCAGGGAATGCCTATTGTGATAACTTAAAAGAGGATTATATTTCAACATATCTTGAGGGAGCACTGCTATTCCCTTTTCAAACAGATGCTTCCAGACCCATCATCCCCAATCAACACATGCTAATGATGATAGGAACTGAAATCCTGCCTTTAACATCCACAGTCAAGATATTTGAGTTAGAAGTGATGGGACTGCAGTGGCACCTTCACCCTCCACCCCTATCATCCCAAACATAACAGGCCTGGGAATGATGGGATTAGAGTTCCACTTTCCCTTTCCAACCCTATCAACCCCACAATCCCTTGAGGAGGCTGGGAATGATGGGATTACATTTCTACCTTCTCTTTCCAGCCCTTCAACCCTGTCAACATAACAGAGCTGGGGATTTACAGTTCCACCTTCTCTTTCCAGCCCTACCAACCCCACAATCCCTTAAGGAGGCTGGGAGTGATGGGATTACAGTTCTACCTTCTCTTTCCAGCCCTACCAACCCCACAATCCCTTAAGGAGGCTGGGAATGATGGGATTACAGTTCTACCTTCTCTTTCCAGCCCTTCAACCCTGTCAACATAACAGAGCTGGGAATGATGGGGTTTACAGTTCCACCTTCCCTTTCCAGCCCTATCAACCCCACAATTCCTTAAGGAGGCTGGGAATGATGGGAT